TCAATAGCCAATTCTGCCTGAGTTACGTTTTCCCAGGATAAGAGGCACGCAGGCGTTGTTGAATCCCAAACCAACGCATTTTAACATGAATCCTGTATTTGGTGGGACAAAAGTATAAGTATAAGATGGGTCCCCAAATTGTGCCCGAGGTTCTTATCGCTCACTCTGTTTATTTTAGTTTACTACTGAAAACATATCTCCTCCAAAGGAATAGCTTTACTCAAATAATTATGCTTTTAAAAACTTAGAGCCACTTTCATGGCCTGTTTTTCAGAAAACAGCAAATATTCCTCGGCAAACACAAAGACAGGAATACCTCAGAGCAAGCAACTCAGAGCAAACACGCCCGTGGAAACCCGGCCCCCTTGTTTACTTACAGGTCCTTAAGCTCCTAATATTGACATTAGTTTCTTAGGTCTCCTGGGCATTTTCTTTTCTATAGCAAACAACAGCGCTTTAATCTATAAAGAGGCCGGTTTTGCTGCTCCGGAAAGATGGGTTAATTGTCCCTCCCAGGAGTGAACACTGCTGCAGAGTTGACGGGCTGTGTTAGGGGGAGCAACAGGCAAGAAGTCTTGGTTGACAAAATAAACTCCTTTGCATAAGCTATGGCGATGCATTACAGAATCCAGGAGAAAGAACCAGAACAAGAGGCAATCGAAACATCACAGTGTTTGAGAAGAATTCAGCTACAGCTTGAAAGTACTGCATTGAACTTCAGCATGCCTTTCCAAAAAGTATTTTTAGAAGCAATTATGTTAAAAGCTTGAGCTCCTTGGAGTTTTATCTATATGGGTATCTCTTGGCCTAAGGGACCTTAAGGTATTGAATTAAGTGAGTCTCCTCTTAAAAAGCAAGAGCTTCCCCATATAAAAAAGCAGCCACACTCGCAGTGCACAAGCTGGAACGCATTTGGAAAAGGCCAGGTGCGTCAGGTAGGAGCGCGCTAAGGAGGCGAGAGCTGCTGCTTTCAGCACTTTCCCCGATGGGCTAGGAAGGGGGCCTGTGAAGGCTTGCAAAAGGGCTCTGCTCCCAGGAGGGTCCCCAGGGGAAGGATTAGGTGGCAGGCATGCAGGAGGGGCCCCCGCTGCACTCCTCCCCCAGTCCCGCTTGAGTTCCTGCCTGGACGCACTAGGAAACTAGGATGAGGCCCCTGCTACCAGCTCCCCGCGAGCCGAGCACACCCTTCCCTCCGATCGCATCCTTGATCAGAGCCGTGTTCAACTTTGGTTATTTCCTGCTCATCGTCTGGTTAGTGTAGGCGATTTTACGCTGGGGTCTTACGGGTGGACACCCCCAGGAATATCTGAAGTCATGTGTCAGATGTGTGCTTATAAATATGTCCTTTTTCCCCTCTGAGAGGATGAGCCTTAGCTTTCATTGGATTCCCAGAGGGATTTCCAGCTCCCAAAGGGCATGTAAACCACCCCAGAAGGACAGTGAGTGAACTGAAGTTGGAGAAACGGCTCTCAGCGACAGGCAACGGCCGTCAAGTCTTGGTTCGCAGAAGAGCCAGAAAGAGCTGTCAGAGCCTCGCACAGCCTGTAGATGAAGGGACCTTAGAGACCATCTAGTCCAATGCCTTTATTTTGCAAAGGAAAATGAGTCTCCAAGCCACAGGTCAGGCGTAGGCCCGCACCTAGGTCTCCTAACTCTCAGTCGGGAGCTCTTTCCATAACGCGGCCCAGGACGGCCAAGTTCTTCCAGTTCTAATCCTGGAATTTGTGTGAAGATGTGGCAGGAGATAGATGGCCTCTAATATCATCCAAGTCCTTTTTAGACTTTATAGGGTTTATAGTAGCAGCATATTGCCGGAATGTGGCCTCTGGAACGAGTTTGAATCTTGATCCTGCCTCTTCTGTTGCCTTTAGGAAAAGGACCTCATTCTATGGGCCTCAGCTTTCTTATCTGTAAAGTGGGAATAATAGTAGTACCCATGCCATTTAAGATCTTGCTGTGAGAATTACATAGACAGATGCATTTATATGCATATTATACATAATGCTTAGAATGGGGCTGCCACATACTGAGCACTCATCCTCATCCATTACTGATATTTTAACAAACATTTATTAAGTCTCTATTACATGCAAAGCTTTGTGCCAAACACCAAAGTCATAAAGACAAGAGACCCAATTTATTCCCATCAGTTGGGGTGGAGTGTGAGGGAGCCACAGTTAATATATTATGACAAGAGCTTCAAGAGTGGTTGGCTCAATGCCCTCGGTAACTGGGAGGGGCACCAACACACACCTCGTTTCTTAAATTTTCCCTGAGACTCAAAATGCAAACCTGCGCGGGCAAAACCATGGTATGCTCTCAGGACCTACCTGCTGAGGGTCCCTGGAGGGTCTGAGGGTCAGCAACGTGCCGATGCAAACCCCAGCTGCTCTGGCTATCCACGGGGCGGGGCCGACAGTGGCTCCCCAGTGGCAGATTGGGATTGGGGTGAAGGTGGGGTGAGGGCAATGGGCTGAGCGAGAGCTGCCTGGGGGTGACGGGAAAAGCGGCCAGGATACCCTGGGATCTAACGATGCCTCAGAGTTAATGGGCCAACAAGAGCAGAGACACAGAAGCAGAGCTGGGATTGAGACAGGCAGAGTCTGAGTTTATTTCCCCTACGGCGGCTGTGTGTCCCTTTCTGAAGGCATACAGCCAGGGCCCCAAGCCCAACAACACTCTGGGTTAGGTACAGAGCCCTCTGTGTTAGTCAGGGCTCTCCAGAGAAACAGAACCAATAGGATATACATATATAAAGTGAGAGTAGTTTTCAAAAATTGGCTCACGGCCCCGTGGGAGCTGGCTGAAATGGCAAGGCAGGCTGGCAGGCCGGAAACTCAGATGGAAGTGGATATTGCAGTTTTGAATCCGAAGGCTGGAACACAAACAGATTTTTCTATGCCGCCATCTGGAGGTGGAATTTCGGCTTCCTAGGAGGACCTCCATCTCCTCTCCCAAGGCCTTCAACTGACCAGGCGAGGCCCACCCACAGTGCGGAAGAGGCTCTGCTTTCCTCGTAGTCTCTTGATTTAAACGTTAATCCCGTCTAGAAAAAAATATCTTCACGCAACATCTAGACTGGTATTTGACCAAACAACTGGGCGGTACTGGTTCCATGGACTAGCCAAGTTAACCATCACCCTGACTCGAACACTCACCAAAAACTGTAAGGCCACATGAAGTCAGGAGGGAAAGAGGAGACTTTGAAGTTTAAAACCCTAGCAAATCTGAACCTTTTCTTCCAACTCTCACCTTCCCTGGACAGGTGCTGGCTGACCCTGTGCCATGAGTAACGTGCCCTGCTTGGGGGAACCAGTGCCCACTGCCTGCCCTCTGAGCCGGTCCATCTCGTGTTGTGACCCCGAGTTTATTGTTTTGACCGCGTCTCTCATCCCTGCACCCCGGGGCCTAGCTTTCATTACACCTCCTGCATGGGCACTCAGTAATGTTTGTTCAGAGATGAAGTTTCTGCTTTTGGAATTCCATCCGAGCCTCCACCCCAGCGAAGAGAGGGCTCGAGTTCCCTGATGAACCTGGACACCAAGCGAGTCCAGCACCCGACATGACTGATGGCTTGTGTATTTGGGTTGAACGTTGAACTTATCAAAACACACACCGTGTCCCAGTGATGAACACCACTTCTCTATGTAATGTGCTAATAGAAATACATATTTTTCTCATTCACCATCAGATAGCAGTTATGAGTCACGCCCTCAGGAGTCGGGGTTCCAATTAAGGATCTTGATGGGGAAGATTCCAGACTCAGTGCTCTGGGCTTGTCTGCTGTTCCTTCCCCCTGAGAGCATTTTTTTAAAGTGCAGATAATGTGCTGGGAGCACAATGGTCCCAGCCCTCGAAAAAATTCGTGGCCTAGGGCTCAAGATCCCACTTACATCTTCATAAAGAAATGCCACATTGACTTGATAGTTTGCCATAAGGAAATATAGCACAATTCAGGTCAAAATGGCATGCTTCTCCATGACATCATCTTTAAATCTGACACAGTCCAAGCTTCAGGCCTTGCGAGGCCCTGGGCCACGTCAGATGGAAGCCGGGCCTCCCCTAGCAGAGTGGGCTGCAAGCGCGTGCCCCTGCGGGCTCTGAACTCCGACCCTGAAACCACCGCAAGCTTAGGAAAACCAGAGGCAGCGAGGAAGCCCCTCCCTGCCTTTTCTGGACAATACTTCAGAAGTGAACTTGGACAACCAGAGGGCCATAAAGAAGGATTTCCTTTGTGATTATCATAAAATTAGCACACTGTGGAATTTTAGATTACAAAATAGGAAAAGAAGTTTGGCGGGAATGGAAATGGCGCCCCAACAGGGCGAGAGTAGCAATTCGTTATCATCTCAAGAGTATGAATGACAATGGGAAGCCCCAGTCAGCAGGGAGGGCTGAAGGAACTGGGCGGCCTTCCTACCTGGGTGTACCGCGCGCCAGACTAAATGGGAAAAACGCATGTGCCTGTATTAATACAGATATATTTGGTGAAACGAAAAATGTGCCAAAGGCTTTTTGTATCTAAAAAGGAGCAGAAACGCAACATAGTATGGCACATAAATATATACACCAAACAACAAGATTTTTTTGAAATTATAAAATCACGGCGAAGGACACACAGGAGCCTCACCCGCGTCGCTCCGGGGAGGCAGGAAGGGAAGGAGATGAACAGGCCGGCAGGGCGGCTCCAGGGGCTGTTTATAAAGATTTCTTGTTTTGAAAAAGATGCAGAGAGGAAATACTGCAACATGTGAAAGTGTGTTCAGTATTAGTGTTTGCACATTAAATTATTTTTTTGTGTGCCTTTTTGTGTGTGTTTGAACATTTTTTTTGAAGAGTGTCTAGGAAGCAGTCATGGCTAAACCCACTTACTTTGTAAAGTATAGGAATTGGAACGAGAAGACCATCCAGCTCCATTTATTCAGCTCCCTTATTTTAGGTGACAGAAAAAAAACACCACAACAGTGGGCCTCGCGAAATTTTTATGTGCCTATTTTTTCCACTGTGTAACCTGTTTCAGCGCCCGCAGCCCACGGGCCGAGGCCAGATGAGGGTTCCAGGCCAGGGTTTGCTCTGGCACGCGCTCTGAGAGAGACCCAGGGGGTGCACCTGCCATAAACCCAAACCCACGCGTCCTGAGGCCATTTTTAAATTGAGGGGTTTCCGAATGCTTTCCGGCATGCGTTCCGCACATCACAGACGATCACCAAGCCCTGGTGAAAGAGATGGGAAATGCTGCCGCACAGCGTTCACCTGCTGCCCGTTGCCCGCATTCACCCTCGCCTACCAGGAGGGGTACAGGGCTGAGGCCTGGGGCGTCAAACCCCGTCGCTGCCCTGCCTCCGACGGCCAGGCTGGGCCGGTAGTTGTCAAATAAGAGAGCACGCCTGTCACCTGGGAGTGTGAGGAAACGCGGTTTCCTTGGCTCTGCTGCTGAAGACACTGATGAGGGTGGGACTGGTGGGGAAGCTGGTGACTTTTATTTTTAATGTGCCCTTCAAGAGGCTGAGGATGTGGGTGCCTGGCAGGCTGCATTTTGAGGACACCAGCTTTAGCATTTGGGGCACCTTTTCCAGATACCTGCTTTCGTTTGCTCTTCTTTGAAGAAAAAAGAAAAGAAAACAGGGGTAAAAAGGAGCCCTGGCTTACCGTGGTAAACATGAGCCCTCAGAAATGAGGGCAAGGCTCATCACCCAGCCTCCTGGGGAAAAAAATACCGCACTAGTCGCCAAAATGCAAGTAGATTCTATATCGAGTTAGAAATGGAATCGGCAAGTTTCCACTGTAGGTGCCAGGGAAAGCGGCAGGATGGTAAGGCAATGCTTGAAAGAAAGGAGTCCAGCCCCTTCCCCCCGTTCTTGATGGGCAGAGGGAGAAAACAAGGAAGCATCCAGCTGAGAAAGAACCTGCTGCTGCTTCATCACAACCGTGTCAGGGCATCTTATCCATGTTCACGTTGGCAAAGCGTTCTCAGCCTCTCTGATTAAAAAAAAACAGGGGGACAAAACATCAGCAACATGTTTGTTATTATGACATTGAAGCAGAGGCCCAGTGTGGAAATGAAGAGAGCCGCTGACACGCCGCCTGCAGAACTCGCAGGAGGGACAGACTGGTGGCCAGAACTTCAGAATGACATAAACTAAACCTTATGCTTCATACTGCCCCCTACCGTCCAAGCTGCATTTCCTCTCCAAAGTCACGGCAGCTTCTGTAACACAGCTGCCGTGAACAGCGTCATCTCTTCTGAAAGGTGACAAGTCCTGGGAAAGCCCTCAGTACTAACGTCATGGGCATCGGTCACCTTGGAGGCTGCCCAGAGGTGACACCGGAGGAGTCTTGGGGGAGGCTGTTGAAAGGGCCCACGTGTCCTTTCCGAGGGCCAGGGAAGCTGGGGCACAGACACCGATCCAGGCTTAGCCAGGAAGACCACCCACTGCCGGCTTCGAACTTTGAAAGAGTGAAGCAAAGAGTCAGAGATGAGGACCCAGTCCTTCAGACAGTAACGACGATGGCAGCAGAGCAGGGACCACGTCCGGAGTCTGGCATGGCAGAATCCTCACGACCAGGGCATGATTTAGGCTGCGTTCTGTCCTGGGGGCTTCCTTTAGTCCTGCAGTTTTCCGTCTTCCCAGGAGCTCTCCGTGAGCGATCCAGGAACCTTTCGGTGCATTTTTTCCTGCTTGAGTCAGCCACAGTTTGTGCCTACCGCTCGCATCTAAAAACCCTCGCTGAATCAACCAAGGCCTCAAAGGGGGGAAGAGTCCAAGTAAAGGAAACTACCTACTAAAAAAAAAAAAATCCCTGTAACTCATTCCAGAGCTGATAAAGTCAGGAGCTTCAAAGCTTCGTTTGTTATTCATGAAGAAAACACGTCAAAGATCTCTGAACATTTAACAAGTGGCACAAACAATTTACTCAGAGTTTCCTGTGCTAGGACTTTATCTCCAGGAACTTTTCCACAAGGTTTGAGTTACAAGCAAGATGGGGATACTATTTGGGGGGATCTGGTGGAGAAAAGAGATTGGGTAGGAAGGAGTGGGAATCAAGGGTAACATTTAAGAAATGTCTGGTTTGAGATGCTCCTGAAATATCTGAAGCAAGTACTAAACTGGTGCTTCCATGGGTGTAAGAGTCTGACGGTCAAGGATATTTGAAAAAAAGAATAAATTGGACAGACATCAGCGAATGGATGACATTTAAAGCCACATAGGGAGATATCTAGGAAAAAGAAACTAGAAGAGGAGAATGAACCCTGGCCAGCATGGCTCAGTTGGTTGGACATCATTCAGCAAAGCTAAAGATTCCCAGACATGCCTAGATTGCGGGTTCGGTTCCCGGTTGGGGCACATAAGAGAGGCAACCAATTCTGTTTCTCTCTCGCATCAATGTTTCTCTCCCTCTCTTTCACCCTCCCTTCCCCTCTCTCTTAAAAAAACAAAAACAAACAAACAAACAAACAAACAAAAAACAGAGAGAGAGAAGAATGAGATGACATTTTATAGAGGTCAGGGAGAGGGTGGCCCAGTGAAGGAAAGTGGTTAGAGGTGTATGATGGGATCGGAGGGAACTTTAGAGAGTATTGAGGGCAAGCGAGAGAGGAGAGTGAATGAAGAAAAGGCAGTGGACAGCTCTCTTGTACCACATTACAGGATGGCCATATTAGATGAACTTGAATTTGACAGCAGGGAGGTACCGATGGCCTTGATGAGAGAAGTTTATAAGGAGCAACGGAGCCAAAAGCTAGACTGGGGTGGATTGGAGAGTTCATGGTAGGTGGTCGAGCAGAGATCACGAGGTGTGTAGATGACTTGGAGAAGCTTTGCTTTGAAGGGGAACAGAGAAAGCGGGGAGAAAACCTTAGGGCCCATGGAGTTCAGAAAGGACTAGTTTTTAATGCTGGGATACCCCAGCGCATATTTGTATGTTAGTGGGCATCGTCTGGTGTGTGTGTGTGTGTGTGTGTGTGTGTGTGTGTGTGTGTGAGAGAGAGAGAGAGAGAGAGAGAGAGAGAGAGAGAGAGAGAGGAAACCAGAGGGAGGAAGTCCTCCTTCATTTGACAAATATTTGGTGATTACTCCGTGTCAGGCCCTGGTCTGGGTGCACATCCTAGAGCAGATTGGCCCACACCGGGTTGCCATGAGCGTCCACTCTGGGGTGAGTGTAGGCACGGAGCTGGCTGTTGACAGAGGCAAGACAGGTTTAGATGTGCGTACCTTGGTCGGTTTAGGGATGCAAAGAGAACTGAGTTTGCCTTTGGTGGCATCTATATTCTTAGCTAAGGGTGAGGGAGGTCGTCAGCTGACATTTGTCGGGGTGGGAGGGGAGGTCACATGGGAGATGTGAGGGGAGAGGAAAAGTACATCAATGGGTGGGGAAAGTAAAATCCCCATGGAAATCGGTGGGGTAGCCACGTGGTGCCCACAGAGGTTTATGGTCATGACTTTGCAGCGAAACCAGCCAGCCTAATTGGGTGATTACGTTTCCTGTCAGAGTCAGCGACTCAAGGACAGGCAGATAGAAGGCCAACACTGGAATCCGTCAAGGTTGGGGTTTTGCCACAACGGTATGACTTAGGGAAGAAAGGGGCATGGGAGTGAGGAAGTCGGCCAGGAAGAGGTAAGAATGACAGATCTTATATTCTAAGCGGGTAAGGAGGGGGGTGATGAGAGAGGAGGTGATGGATAAGGCAAAGGCAGGGCAGGCAGGGACATCAGGGAATCTGTGCTCTGGGGATGGGGTCCTGGGAGGACGGGAGGAACTAGCTGAAGAGGAAGAGGCTTGAGAGCCTCATTTTAGAGGCAGCAGAGGTGCTTCTATAACAAGGTATATGGTGTGACCTTGATGCTGGGGTGGCTGAGTAGGAAACAGGATCGGGTTGAATGGTGGTCCCCGAAAAGCTATATTTGTGCCCTGTATCCTGTGAGTGCGACTTTATTTGGAAAAGAGTCTTTGCACATGTAATAAGTTACAGATCCTGAATTATGTGGGTGTATCCTAAACCCAGCAAGTGTCCTTCAAACAGAAAGGAGAGGGCGCAGACACACCCAGGAGATGCGGGACTTCCGGTCGGTAAAACTGTGGAAGAATAATTTTGTTGTCCTAATAACCCCCAGCTTGGAAACTAACATAGGAACTTAGCAGATGTGGCGTTGGTGGGCCCTCCGCTGGGATCTCCAAGCCACTGTAAGTGACGGCAGAAGTGCAGGCGGAGGAGAAACTCGTTGAGCCAGGGCACGTTGTTAATGAACAGAGGGGTGACAAGAGGGGTGGTACGGACAGCGGTGGAGAGAGACAGACGTGGTATAGCCTGATGGCACAAGCTCCAGGTAAGTCCGCGGTTTTTCCAGGCAAGAGAAGAGAAGTGACAAGGGGTGGGGGAGGGAGCTCCAAGGGAAACTGTGGCGGGGGGCGGGCAGTCTGGTTTCAGTGAACACGGAGATGAAGGGGATGCTCACAGGTGGAGCTGGAGGTATAGAGCATAGGATCAGAGCAGAGCTGTGGGTGTGCTGGGGAGGGCAATGAGGGGACACGAAAAGCGAACCGGGATGAGAGTTGGGGGACAAATGCCTAGAGCTGGGCTTCTCCTGGGACCGACTTTGATAGGCCTCCGAGCCTGGGCCTCTGAGTCCTTTGGTCTTGGGAGGGCAGAGGGCTGTGGGTCAGGGCGACCCTTCAGCGTGCTCTGCTGGATCGTTTGGGAGCCTCGGGGGACAGCGCCCCCTACAGCCTGAGGATGCGCCGAGGGCGGTGCCAGGGCACTGGCGGGCCACCTGCGTGCGGCCTCCTGCGGCAGCGCATCTCACAGCTGTTTCTAAGGGAAGAGCTGAAGCATCCGAGCTTGTTTGCCTAGATTAATGTCCAGATTACATCTCAAGATTTATATTCATGCATGTCTAGCAATAAGGGGTCTGTTAAATAAATTATGAGACGTTCGTGCAATGGAATGTTATGTGGCCATTACAAATTATGTGGTTGAAGAATAGGGGAAAACGCTCACAATAAATCTTTAAGTGCAAAACCAGGTTACCAAACATACAATTATGATCCCAGTTCGGCAAAACAAACAAACACAAGTTTATCTACAGGTATATGTGGACCCGGAAGCAGATTATACACTAAAACTATAACAACA